TGGATAAATCTGCTGCTATTCTAATTGGTTTTCCCTGGTAGGTAGTCTGGCCTTTTTCTCTTGCTGCCTTTAGGATTTTTCCTTTTATAGCTACTTTGTTTAGGCGAATTATTATGTGTCTGGGAGTTGGTCTTCTCATTTGTTGTCTTGCAGGGGCTCTCTGAATCTCTTGTGTTTGAATTTTTTCATCCTTAATGAGAGGAGGAAAGTTTTCTTGAATGATTTCATGAAATGTTTGTTCCAGTGTGGTTTCTGTTTCTCTCTCTGCCTCAGGAAGCCCAATTACTCTTAAGTTTGGTCTGTTGAAGTGATCATTCATCTCTTGCACGTTTTGTTCTGTCTTTTTGAGCTTTTCTATGCTTTTGACAGTTTGGGTGAGTCCTGTGTTATGGTCTTCGAGCTCTGAGAGTCTTTCTTCTGGTTGGCTGATTCTGCTTTCCATGCTTATTAGTCTGTTGTTCATTTCCATCACAGTATTCTTTACTGCTGTCATTTCTGACATCAGCTCCTTCCTATTTTCCTCGTCTCTCCTCAATTTTTTAAATTCTCTCCATTAATGTCTTGATGTCTGGGTTTGTTGCATGCAACCAGTTATTCTGGGTTTGTGTTCCAGAATCTGTTTTCTCAGTGTCTGATTTCCCAGGGGTCTGTGTGAGACCTATATTCTTCTTTTGGTTTTTCTTCATTTGTGCGGTTTTTCCCTCTCCCTACTTTTTCCTTCCCTCCACGTCACCGTCTTCTTTAATTCTGTTATTCAGGGGTAAATGGATTGGTTTTACTTCTGTTTGTTCAATGTCCTATTCTTTATGTATGCCCTCTTTGTTCAATTCTGAAGTTGCACTGTAGGTTGGAGGTGGTCCTTTTTGCAGTTTTGAAATTTACTTAAGGGGGGAGCTGTGATTCAAAATCTATCTGTAGGTCCTGGTATTTGCTGACAGGTGTGTGGACAATGTGGAACCCACTTTCCACTGCCTTGGAATCTGTCCGTGCAGTGGGGCTGTAGGTTTACTCCCTGAAATAAAATGTGGTTAGCAGAGGGGAGAGAATGGAGCAGATAGTGGGTTGAAGAGAGGAGTGGAGAGATAGAGGAGTAAGGGGGGAAACAAACGAGTGTGCCAACAAATAGAGAAAGAGGCCTATACTGAAACAGACAAAAGCAATAGACCACAGCTACAGATGAACCAACTCTCATACAAAAAAATAAAACATATAGTGATGCTAACATACAAGTTAACCAACCATCTTATTAGTGTGCTGTTCCTCTATACAAAGATATGGTTTACAGAGAAAAGAGAAGAAAAGGAAAAGGAAAAAAGGAAAAAGGGAACAATACAGTAGGAATAGAATTAAGTCATTAAACTAATAGAATCAATGAAGCACACTCTGAGACATTTCGTTTAAGTCCAATGTCCTTTCAGGTCTGATTTCTAGTTTTCTTTTCAAGCTGGTAAATTAGTTTGCAGTTAGGGTCAGTTGCCCCAGGTCTGCTGTGAAGGACAGTTAGGATTACCCTCCATTCAGCACTCTGGTCTATGTCTTTATCAAGCTTGTTTCTCCCGTTTCAGTGTTGTTACCTTGAATCGCCAGCAGGTGGTGCTATCTCAGCTGCTCACCCTAGAAGGGGTGGGGCCGGACAGGAACAAGATGGCTGCCTGCCTCAGGGCAGACAACAGGAGACTTATGGCAGGCGGGCAGGACATCTCAGTCGCAGGAGAGGTGGCAGCGATCCCAGCAGATCTTCTCTGAAGGGGTGTGAAGTGGTGGTGCGATGTGCTATGGCCTTCACAGAGGTGGCAGCAGTGGCGGGGGGGGCTGTGGCGGCGGCACCGTTTGCGCTGCAGTGACTGTTCAGTCTGTTGCGATGCCCCAGCAGTGGCAATGGCCGAGCTCCGTGTGAAGAGCAGGCTGCGATGTTGGGCCCGCAGCCCCCCCGGGGCAAGAGTCAGAGACCCACTGCAGTTCTCCTTTGCAGAGGGCTTCACAGACCAGGTTGCCCCGTTGCCATCTTGCCACTTCCATTTTTAATTTTTTAGTTGCTTTGAAAGATAATTGATTGTTTAAAGCAAAATATTAACAGTGTAGTGTAGTATTTAGAGCATATATAGAAGTGAAATGTATCAGAAAACCAGCAAATAGAATAAAAGGGGCTCTTCGGGTCCCAGGTGCTTCAGGAGCCATGGGTTCCGACATGGCCAAGTCCAAGAACCATTCCACACACAACCAGTTCCGAAAATGGCACAGAAATGGCATCAAGAAACCCCGATCACAAAGATACGAGTCTCTTAAGGGGGCGGACCCCAAGTTCCTGAGGAATATGCGCTTTGGCAAGAAGCACAACAAGACGGGCCTGAAGAAGATGCAAGCCAACAATGCCAGTGCCATGAGTGCACGTGCTGAGGCTCTCAAGGCCCTCGTAAAGCCCAAGGAGGTTAAGCCCAAGATCCTAAAGGGTTCTAGTCGCAAGCTTACTCAACTTGCATACATTGCCCACCCCAAGCTTGGGAAGCATACTCGTGCCCGTATTGCCAAGGGCTGCAGGCTCTGCCGGCCAAAGGCCAAGGATCAAATTAAGGCCCCAGCCGCAGCTTCATCTGCAACTCCAGCTTCAGTTCCAGCTCCTGCTCAGACTCCCAAAGGTGCCCAGATCCCCACAAAAGCTGCAGAGTAGAGGCCTCTGTGTGCGAATGTGTGGACAGAAGGACTGATCTGACCCCCAGGATGCTGTCTGCATGGGGCTGGTGTCTTCCTGTGCTATTTGTACAAATAAACCTGAGACAGGAAAAAAAAATAACAATAGGAGAACACAGAAATACTATTTTAAGGTTCTTTTCTTAACCCTATGTATGAAGTCCTATAATGAAAAACATGATCAAAGTAAAGTGCCTCTCACAGTATCTGGAGAAGGCAATAAATACTTTTTCTCACCCTTGAATAGAGAAGAATACTTTAGACAGAAGTAAAAATAAATACGAAGACTTTCAGGCAGAAGTACAGTTGGGATATATGAAGATCAGCCAAGAGGCTGGAGCTGAGTGAGCCTCTGGGAAAGTAATGAGAGCTAAGGCCAGATCAAGCAGGGCCATGTCAACCATTTTAATGACTTTGGAGGGTTGATGATGCACAATACCAAGTAAAGTCATTTGTTACAAACTTTTTATTTATTTACTTATTTGTCAGAGTCTCACTCTGTCACCCAGGCTGGAGTGCAGTGGCATGATCACGGCTCACTGCAGCCTTAACCTGCTAGGCTCAAGTGATCCTTCTACCTGAGCCTCCACAGAAGTTAAGACTATAGGTACGTGGCACCATACTTGGCTAATTTTTTAAAATTTTTTTGTAGATTGAGGTCTCACTATGTGGTATAGGGTATTCTCAAACTCCTGGGCTCAAGCAATCCTAAGCTTCCCTCTGCCTCCCAATATGCTAAAATTACAGGTGTGAGCCACCACACCTAGCCTACAAAACACATTTAAATATCAATCCAAACTCAGTCATCTTACCTAACGGAATTGACAGAATGTAAGAAGGGGAAAAGGACTTTATAATTAATAGGGTGCACATAACTCTATCATTAGAATCCCTAAATGCATCCCCCAATGTCATTTTACTATTTCAAAAAGGTCACATGTAATTAATTTTTTATGAATAAGCATGTTGAGTCTGATTTTCTGCTTTATAATATTGAGCCACTGCTTACACATAAATGTCAAGAGCCAAGTTTTCAGTAGAAGAAGGCATGAACAAGTTTCCAAAAAGAGGGGAGTGAATTTTGTCCGCATGATTCCCTCCCTCCCTTCTTTCCTCTCTACTTCCCTTCCTTCATTTTCTCCCTCCCTCCTTTCCCTTTATCTTTCTTTCTTCATCTCTGCCTCTCTCACTCATTTTCTATCAGTGTTGATAACAGATACCATTAAAAATAGACATACACAGCTGGGCTCGGTGGCTGAGTCTGTAATCCCAGCACTTTGGGGGGTGGAGGCGAGTGAATTGCCTGAGACCAGCCCGGGCAACTTGGCAAGATCTCATCTCTACAATAAATCAAAAATTAGCCAGGCGTGGTAGCATGCCTGCAGTTCTGGCTATTGGTAAGGCTGAGGCAGAGGGATAGCCGGAGCCCAGCAGCCGTGAGTGTGCCACTGCACTCCAGCCTGGGCGACAGTGAGACACTGACTCAAAAAAAAAAAATACACACACACACACACACACACACGATAAATTGCTTCTGTTAAGCTCTAGCACGGACATGCTTCTCTTTAAGCTCTTGGTCCCTCTGACTGCAAATGTCGAAGCAGGAAATATAAATGTAAATGTAAAAGAACAACATGGACTCCACTACCAAAGAGTTATGTCAGACTAAATAATAATCAAAGCAATAATAATAACAGATGATATTTATTGAGTACTTTTAATATGTGAAGCTACTTTGCATCATTTATTTCATTTAATTCTCACAAAAATCTAATAAGTAGTAACATTATTCTCATTTTATAGATGGGTTAATCAAGGCTTAAAAGAAGATGAATTGCCTATGGTCACACAACTGGAGGATTCAGGATCTAAACTTAGCATCTGACTCCACAGCAAAAAAATAAATAAATAAAAAAGGAATGGAGTTTAGGAAACTGCAGGCCAGTTGCAATGAATTTTGGGAGATATAAAAAGTACATAGTTGGAAGTAAGTAATGTGGAAATAACTGATTGGTTAATATCAGGTTACTTCAGGTTACTATTTGCTGTAAGGATTAAAGGTTGAGGGATCATCATTATCATGCCAATTAAAGCCTGCCTGTTTGATAAATTTGGCAATCTCACCTGATTTCTCATAATGTCAAATAACAACTTAGTTTTGGTTTGGCGAAATGGAACTTCAGCATAAGTAACTTCATTTTGAGTTTTAGTCTGGTCTGTTAAGGCCTAAGACAGGAAGCTAGTCTAAAACACTGATCTTCTATAATTTTTATGTAACAGTACAAATGCTTTACATTTAAACTGATACTTACATTATATTCAGACACAACTCCTTTATAAACTTCATAGAATTCTTCAACATTAACCCGATCCATATTGAACTATATTCAGAAATAAAACAAAACATAACAATAAGCCAACCAACAAAAGAAAAAAAATGAGCCACACTTAGCACTCAATATTTATGATCTCTTCTTTACTAAAGTAAATGTAAACTTTACATAAATTACTCCTGGAAGAAAACGTGATTAAAGATCAGCTCATCAATAATAATAATAGATAGCATTTATTGAGTCAGGTATTTAATGTGTCAAGCATTTTTCTAGGTTCTGTACACACATCATGCCATTAATTCTCACAACACCTTACCACACATGGAATATTAATGGCTCCAATTTACAGATGTGGCTACTAAGAATCAGAAAGGTTCTTTAACCTCCCCACACTGGCATTCTGTCTCAAGCAATCTGACCCCCATTGATCATGCTCTTAACTACTGCACTGCAGCTCTCTCCGAATAGAACTTCATTCTTGATACAAAAAGAAAAGACGTATACAATGGAATTGCACTACAATAGATTAGTGGCACAAGAAAGACATATTATTAAGTACTTCAGATTTTGTAGAGGGAGCAGAAAATAACAACATTTTCCTTCCAAGCATTCAGAAAAACCCCTAGTCTGATTTGTAAATAAAGCACTTATACAAGTCATCTGGACTTTCTATTACTCTTCAAACAAGAATTGTAAGCATGTACTAAAAGACTCATTCTTATCAAGGCAGAATTTAAACTTAGTTAGGAATAGAACCAAGCCCTTAATTTTAAAAAATGGCATTGGAATTTCCAGTTTTATTTTTCTTCTTTATTGTTGCCATGATTGAAGATGGCTGAGAAATTTCTGCCTACACAGACAGTAGAGAATTTATCCTTACAGGCAACATTACCATGATAAGGAGGGAATTCTGTTTGATTTCAGTGCTTTATCCTATATTCACACAACTTTTATTATTAATGCAATGAAATAATAACAAAAGATATAACTTGTTAAATACTTAGCAATTTGAGCTGGAAATAGTTATTTCATTTAACCTGGAGAATTACCCATTTAGGCAAATAACAATGTCCTCATTACCTAGATGAGAAAAATGAGAGTAAGAATGCTTGACATTTGGCTAAGGTAAATGCCTCAAAAAAAGCTGACCCAGATTGAGATAGATCTCTCTGACTCAAAAAGTCAATGGCTGTGCTTGCCATGCCTCACACATAGTTTAATTAATCATTAAAAAAATTTTTTTTCATTGAGTACCAATCACTGTGCTAGGCTATAGGCCTGGTGTTAGATAAATGCTTGGAAACTACAATTTCTATAATTATTATTTTTAAAATAGGCTTAGGTACTATCCTACAATCTTGTTACTACATCACCCAAGCACCCAAGCTAACACTTTTAGAAAGTTTAGGTTAACAATTTCTTGATAATCCTAGATAAGATTCTTCAAATATTAATTTTCTCACCAGTGTCCAAGTTTCTGTTTGATGACTCTGCAAATTGTTATTTCTAAACCTTTTTTTTTTTTTTTTGACTTATTTGTACAAAATAGGCAGGACTCCAATCTGTGCCTTGACCTGATTTTGGGTGATCCTAAGATGTCGTAGAAAACAGTTTCTTTTCAGAAAAAGAGGATGTAAATAATATTGGTAAGAAAATTCTCAGCTTTAAAACGAGTATTTTGGTAATTCATTGTCAAAAAAGCATAAACTTTCTGAGCTTCAAACACTGTAAAAACCAAGTTGTTTACCTGATTTCTGTAAGTTGATTACCTTATTTCTTGTCAAATGTGCCAGTGAGTATAGCACAAAGGTATGACCTCTAACAAAGAAAGTGCTGTTTCTTTGGTGAAGGGTTTCCTAGGAACATGTGAGTGGTGCAATTCTGAACAAGTGTGTCCTGGAGATCCAGTGTTGCATGTGCAAACAGAGGGCTGAAATACATTAACTACAGAGAAGGTCCTGAGGGAAAGTCCAGAAACTTGCCAAAAGCACTGGTGCGGGGAAAAAGGCTGATTTTCTCCTGACCGATTCTCTTCCTTCAGTATCCACTATGTTAAGAATCCAGGCCACAGAAAATTCACTCTAATGTTCACTTTGATTCTATTTTTTTGTTTATAAGAACTACATACTTTTTTTGGTCTTTATATATTTTGTAACTAAAGTTTCAAGAATTGTATAAAATTACCTTATATGCTTAAATTAGGTGTATAATTTGAATATTAGTTCTTTCAATAAAAGATTATATGGGTAAAATAATTTCAAAAGCATCTTTTAAGTATAAGAAGGTTACTGAGTTCAGTGAATTGTCTTATTTTTAATGCAATGAGTTCATGAGTACATAGAGAAAATTCAATGTAAAGCACTAATTTTTTTTTAAATTCCTTAAAATGTTATAGCTCATTGCAAACAACCTACCATCTGCATAGCTGAGATTTCAAAACCTGCATCTCGGATAGCCATCAAAATCTTTCCCAACAACCCTGAAAATAGAGAACAAATGAATGCAGAAATCCAAAATTTTAAGGCTTTTTAGTTTCTTAGAAACGCAAATCTTCTACACCAAAATACTTTGCTTATACTCTATATGAAAAAACCACACATTTTTGCTAGAGAAAATAAATCCCTAACATTGAGCATCACATTTATTCATTTGAATCTTTTAGTAAGTGCTTCAAGAATAACAATGGTCTTGAGGATTATGCAAAAAAACTTTAAAGATATTTTTTCCTTTATGGCCCCTAAGTTTAGAGAAGTAGAGAACACAAAAACCAAACAATTAAAAATAACACTTCAAAAAACAAATGCAATACCAAAGTACTGAAAACAAAAGGAATTCAAAGAAGAGTTCAAAGAGAAAAATCTAATTATAACTGAAGAGGTGGGCAGAAGCTTCAAGAGGAAATGAAAGCATGAATAGTCGTTAAAGGCTGTAGACAGATGGGTGTATATATGGATGAGAGAGAAGGCATGCATCTAGGAAAGTGTGAACATGTTCATATGACAATAAGAAGACAGAAAAGAAAAACAAAATTGAAAAGGAAAGGAGATTCAAACCAAATTGATGAAGGCTTTGAATGCCAACATGAGAAATCTGGTCTTTATTCCATAGATGAGTGACTTTTATAATGGGGTCTATAGACTGTGGGGTTATGGGACTGATTTTGAGATTCCAATTATTTCCTATAAAAATCTTCTAAATTTCTTTTTTTCAAGTCAACTAAATCTCTGTCCCTGACTACCTCTCTCTGTCTCCTAAACATACACACACATGTCTACACAAATACATACATGCCACATTCTGGGTCATTTGGATGCGCACCTAGTAACCCCAAATCATCAAGTAATATTAGTGCCTGAACGTACATTTTTATTTGCTATCTCACTGTAGCCAAATAGTGCTATTTTAATTGCAGCAGGCTGAGTGATGAGAATAGACAGAGGTGGATCTATTTCTCAGATAATACATTTATACCAAGTGAAGGCCAAATGATATCATAACATGTTGTGGAAACAAAGGTTTCTCAGAAGTTTAAAGACAGAAAGTGATAAGTGTTAGTCATTTCAGTAGAACAGCCCATGTCTAACATAGAGACTGTGCCATATTCATGGTAAGCTTGTTTTTGGCAAACAACATCCTTTGCTGTATTAATGTTATTAACTTAAATTTTATTCATTTTATAGTTTTGTTTATGATGAATTTATAAATTATTTAGTTTTACAGTTGTATATGCAAAAGTATACATTTTGTTTTATATTTGAATATATTTAAGTTGTATTTACTAACATTAAAATAATTTATGACAGAGTCTATAAGAATTATTTTCTGCCGGGCTCGGTGGCTCAGTCTGTAATCCCGCGCCTTTGGGAGGCTGAGGTGAGTGAATTGCCTGAGCCCGCGGGTTCGAGACCTGCCTGGGCAACTTGGCGAGACCTCATCTCTACAATAAATCAAAAACTGAGCCGGGCATGGTAGCGTGCGCCTGTAGTTCCAGCTACCGGAAGGCTGCGGTGAAAGGATCACCGGAGCCCAGCAGGTTGAGGCTGCAGTGGCCAGGAGCGGCCATTGCACTACAGTCTGGGTGACGGAGTGAGACTCCAACTCAAAAAAAAAAAAAAAAGAATTACTTTCCTCAAAAAAAAAAAAACACTGAAGAAATGGGGAGTCACCAAAAATGTTAAGCAGAAGAATAAAAAATAAAAGCATATTAGGAAGATTGCTAATGTCCTAGTGATGGGCAAACTGGTCTGCAAAGGTAGCGAGACCTCAACTCTACAATAAAAATCAAAACGTAATTCCTGCTACTGGGAAGGCTGAGGCGGAAGGATCCTGCCTGTAATTCCGGCTACTGGGAAGGCTGAGGCGGAAGGATCGCCGGGGCCCAGCAGGTCGAGGCTGCGGTGGCCAGGAGTGGCCACCACACTCCAGTCTGGGCGACAGAGTGAGACTCCAACTCAAAAAATAAATAAATAAAATAAATTTAAAAAAAGAACAGCAAAGGCTTCTGAAATCATCTAGCATGCTGACTGGAGAAATTTTGGTTATTTCCTTAAATATTTTCTGTCTTATTTTGAACTCCAAAAGCTGGATGGCAGTAGCAGGAATAAAGGAAGTAAAAAATATAAGACATTTCCAAACAAAAATTAAGAGAAATAACTAAGCTGGATATAGAATATGAAGATGAAGGAAGGGTAAAAGTGATTTCAAGATTTTGAGCTCAAGTGACTGAAACAATGATCGCACATTTACGAAGAAAACAAGTCATGAAACCAAATTATTTTGGACATAGAAACCCAAAGTAGCATAAACCAGAAAACTGATCAGAATTTGAGGATACTGTATATCCAGTGGCTGAATGAGTAAATAAACTCCCTCCACAAAATTAGTGATATGGGATTACATTCCAGTAGATAGTTAGAAAGATATAATGAGGGTTGCAGAAAGGTAGAGCTGAAATGATTCAAATAGATGAGACATCATATATAGGGGATAGCAATTTCAATGACTAACGACTTTGCATCAGAAACAATAGAGGCCAAGGGATGACGAAACTTTTAATGTGTAAAAGAAAAAAATATATAACTTTCAACTTGAAATTTTTATGTCAGTACAAAATCCTTCAAGAATGATAATAAAATAAAGATATTTTCATAAAAAAAAATTAAGAAATTTGTTGCCAGCAAAGCCATACTACAATAAATGATAAAGAAAGTTACTAAACTAAAGGAAAATGTAATGAAGCTAGGATCTTCAGGAAGTAATGAGCACAGTTAAAGGTAGATATTTGGAATAATACAAAAGACTATTTTTTTCCTCTTCATTTCTTTAAAATACACATGACTGATTAAAGTGAAAATTTTAACATTGCACTGTGGGTTCTTTAATGTCTGTGTTTGTAATATACTGTTTATCAGAAATGTAACATAAACCTGGGTAGAGGCAATATATAGAACTATACAATTAAAATATTTTTACATTTTAGTGAAGTGGTACAATATTATTAACTCTAAGTAGACCAAAAATTACGGATGTATATTTTATTCCTTAAAACAGTGATTATCTAAGAATAGTCCCCAAACCAACACCATCAATGCCACCTGGTTACTTGTTAGAAATGCAAATTCTCAGAACCAATTCCAGATCCATTGAATCAGAAACTTAGGGAGTGGAGCCTCCAAATCATTGTTTTAATAGATCCTCCACATGATTCTGTTATACACTAAAGTTGAGAGATACAGCACTTGAGTAATCACTAACAAAGACAGAAAAAGGAAAGATAAATACTTAAATGGCCAATGAATAAATTTTTAAAAAATATTCAATTAATCTAATAAAAGGAAGGAAAAAAAGTTCAATTGAAAGAAGACAGAATAGAAAACAAATAGTAAATCAGTATCCCTAAAACCAATCCCAATTACATTAAATGTTAGTGGTCTAAAAAGTTCCTTAAAGGCAGATAATTTAGATGGATTAATAAAAAAAAGATCTAATTAAATGCTGTTTATACAAAACCAACTTTAAAGACACAGGTAGGTTAAAAGTAAATGAATGAAAAAAGGTATATTATGTAAACTGTAAGTACAATAGGGTGGGAGTGGTTATATTAATTTCAGATACAGTAGAATTTATGACAAAAGATTATTACCAGAGATAAAGGTCCTATGAAACATTTAGAGACAGTACTTTATATAGAGAGTTGAAGAAGAATATATATTCATGGCCAAAAAAAAAAATAGCATTGAGCAAAGGCCCAGAGATGTAAAACAGCACAGTTCTTTTTGAATACGAGTATTTTCACTGTACTGAATAACAGGATGGAAGGGAAATGGGGCAGGGAGAAGGTAGGAGAGATGGCAGAAGCCATGACAGATGAACTTATAGATCATGTACAGAAGTTTGGATTTTATCCTATAGGCTAGAAGTTCTCTGTCTGGTCTTATGGACATTTTAGCTCCTAAAACTTGTTGAAGACTCGGAAGAAATTTGATGTATATAGGCTATATCTATCAGTATTTATTGTATTATATATTAAAACAAATTTTAAAATATTTTCCAAGTTAAATATGAAAAAAATCCTTTGTGTTAACATAAATATATATATTTTTTGAGTTGGAGTCTCACTCTGTTGCCCAGACTGGAGTGCAGTGGCACGTTTCTGGCCACCGCAGCCTCGACCTGCTGGGTTCTGGCGATCCTTCTGCCTCAGCCTTCCAAGTAGCTGAAACTACAGGTGCACACTACCATGCCCGGCTAATTTTTGATTTATTGTAGATATGAGGTCTCGCCAAGTTGCCCGGGAGGGTCTCTAACCCACGGAATCAGGCAATTCATTCACCTCAGCCTCCCAAAGTGTGGGATTACAGGCTGAGCCACCAAGCCCGGCCAACATAAATATTTTTGTGAAGAAAAAAATGACGACTTTTTAATTTGTGAGAAAAGTGACACTGTCTTTTTTTTTTTAATAATCTCCTTAATGTCTAATGGCAGACAGCTGAATTCCCATATCTACTTCAGCTTTTAATCTGTTGTAATAAGCTGTTTTGGTTGAAGGATATGTATTTGGAAAATGGTGGAGTATTCTAAGTCTTTTAAAATAATTGCGTATATTATCCTTTACTTGACAAGTGGTGGTTTCTTAAAAGTTTATTGGCATGTATAATCTAAAACTTTTATCAATAAACTTTTTTTTACACTATCATACTAAAATCCGTTGGTCTATCTTGTATGTACTTTGAATGGATCTTTGACATATACATAATTTGTAACATCACACATTGGTCATTTGGTAAATACTGGTTCACTTAGTTATGCAGATTTTTCAAATGCTGATTCATTCCATCACAGAGCAAAAAATCACATTTGTTAATATCACCACCAATTTTATCAGAATAGTCTTTCTATTCTCTTATACAACATACTGGAAAGCTGCCAAGCTCAAGGTGGTGAGTACAGTTTTCCAAGGGTCTAAATTTAATTTTTCTT